GCCTTCAAATAAACACTGCTGGACATGTCATCTCTAAATTGAAAACAAAACAAAACTTGAGCAGAGATGGTTTCTGAGTTTTGCAGTGCAGTGCAACAAAGCAAAACCAAAGCTGCACAGCACAAAGGGCCCAACACTTGTCTGGATAACCAATGTGTTAGAACAGCCTCTGAAGATATCCCAGAGAACTCAGGGATATGAAGCTGCAATAACAGCAAGAGAAAACTGTTCTTCTTCCCCCAAAAGTAAGATAACTTTGTTTTACAATGTCTTGGGTTGAATTTACGATGCTTTTATCAGCAATTGTCTGTTGTATTGGTGTTGAATATTGAGTTCTGCAGCTTTAAGACTGGTTCCAGGAGTCAAGGGGGAGAGAAGAGGTGCAGAGTCTGTTATCAGAGACTGCAATGGCTCCCCTTAATCCTTCACACAAACTGTGCTGTCTGCAGTGGACAGCAGGAGAGAGCTCTCCTTGCTCCTTTGGTTAGTTTCTGGCTAGCTGAGGCAGAGAAGCTCCCTGGACTGTGGGGTTTTTTTCCTTTTTCTTGGAATTGTTCGAACATGCTCTCGACTGAAAACCCAGAAGAGCATCAGGAGCTTGCACCCATGGCCCACCAGGCGTGGCCTGGGCTGCAGCATTCCCCAGCACAGGAGGGACTGAGATCAGACTGAGTGAGCCAGTCCTGAGATCAATTTCTGATGTGGTTTAGTACAGGTATGGCACCAACTGATGAATTCTAACACCTTTGCCCCATCCAACTGTATGCAAATGACTTAAGGTCAGAGGAGGAAAAAGATTAAGTTTAGTTTTCATTCTTTTTTATCGGAGACTGCAAATTCTTTGGGTCAGGATTGACTTGTTCTGCACTGGGTGGGTAGTATCTTGATCTAGGGAGACCTCAATCTCTTAGACTCTCTCTACTTGTCTCTGGCACAAGTAATCATTAATATTACTTCAATGTAAAAATGACATCTTTCTGAATTACTTAGCTTTTCAGAAACAGACAGGAACACCACTAGTTTATGTTTTGCTATGTTTGAAAGCATGCAATTAGACACGGATCTTACAAACATAAACAAACACTCCCATCCAACCTCTATGTTTCTAAAAAAAACCCAGGTTTGTTTAGACAAAATGTTGATAATCCAGTTGGAACACAGGTATCTGAATGCTGTGACAGCTTCTTCATAATGCTCAGCTTATGGTACATTAAACTTTAAAGCAAGATAAACTCCTGCTTTCATTTTATCAAACATCTACCCAGACAGCAAAAAGAAAGACACAAAGCAATGTTTGCAGCTACAGCCAAGCATGGGATATCCAACTCAGCATATGTTTGAAATGAAAATGAACAATATGTTGCATGGATATACTACTGTATGTTTCAATAGAGAATATCACTGGGATTTGTAAATGTTAACCTCATTCTTCCCTTAAGAGTTTGGTTTTTTCATGCCTAAAAAACCCCTTGAGATTCACCAAGATTAGGCAAATAGAGACAGCAGTGCTTGCAATTGAGAAAGAAAGTGCTCTTAAAAGAAACTGCTCCAATAATCAGTTTGGGTGGAAGAAATCACAAGAGAGGACACAGACAAGACATTTTTTAAGAGCACTAAGTGTTGTGCTACTGGTATTACTGAACTTTGGTAGTTAGCCATATTATACCTTTTTGTGGTCAATAATGCAGTAACCTGTCTACCACAATAATAATGATGTAGCAACAGACATCCAAGAGTCCATGATAAGAAGTCTGCAAGAACTTTTACCTACAGAGAACAAGTAGCAAGAATGGGGAGAGTAGAAGATTGCTAAATAAATCCTTCAGGAATGGGGAACTGAGAAGAGGCTTGAGCAGCCTCTTAATTTTACAGATTACCAAAAAAATAACTTCTCATTCAAATCTAAATAGACTGTGTACCCAAAAGGTTTCATAGTTCTTTCTACTCCCAACATTAAATCAACTACCTTACAAAGCCTCTCCTTAGAGCTGACTTAAGGTCATGTAGTAGACAAATACTGAGAGGTTATCATTGCTTCCACTGAGTTAAAATTGACTTATTTCACTAGAAGCATCATCTTCATATTACACTGATGGCAATGCATGAGAAATCAGAGATGTGCTATTACATGATTTGTTACAGAGTTACTGATGATCTTCATTATACCATAAATAACAGCCTAAAAATTATCAAATCATGAAAGTTTCTTCCTAAGACTTGCATCTTCCCTTTAAGTTTATTTTTATGCAGCTACAGTCTCTCCTCCCTTTCCCAAGCAACCCTTTCTTCTATCCCTCTTTCATATGACCTCACCATACCCAAAAATGTTAAGAGATTGGTCTTATCGCAGTTTAGCAAGATACCACCTGCCAGCTGAACTGTGACAAATCCCAGCTGGCTTTACAATACACACACTAACAGGGACTGAGGCTGAGCCAATGGACAGCAGCTCAAGGCTGTAGTTTAAACCACTGAGTACCCCCATCCACAAAAATTGTACTAAGGATAGAGCACAGTAACATGAATGTTGTCATCACCACATTCCTATTCTAGTGTGCATTAGTTCGAGTCTCTCCTCTACCTGCAACTGCCTTCTGTTGAGCCTTACTAAGCCTTTTGCAGCCAACAAGGTGGACAAACTGCCTGCTCTTTGTACTCACACAGCAGTTGACACAACATGACCCCAATCAATCATATGCTACTACCATAATAAAACTTACAACAGCAAATATTCATTCCTCCCTTTTCCCAGGACTGCCCTTCTAAAAAGACACAACCCTGGAAGAAAAAGCTAAAAAAAAGAATAATTGAGTAGTTATTTAAAAAATTAGGATAAGGCCTATAAAGAAAAAGTAATAACTCTTTAGGTTCCTTTGAGTTTATTATTACTCCTGCCATACACAACACTCATGTTTTCCAACTCCTAGAAGAGCCAGATAATCAGGTACACAACATGATTGTAAGAAATTCTCTAGAATTAGAGACCTGCATTTTTATTAGCAACCATTTTACACACTGTTTAAATAACTCCTTGAACCCAGGTTTCCATCATGAATAAAGGAAGATGTGAGCATGCACTGAGTTTTACTGATCTGTTTAAACACGCAGGCAAGTATAAAAAACTTTAACAGAATAGACTCCAATTAGAAAGTTGACAAGTCTGAACAACTACTACACTTGCAGATGTGCTTCAAGACTTTAAGCTTACAGGCTCAGGCACTGCACTTTACTGAGATAAATAGATGTGAACAGCTCAGCCACTAGGCAAACCTACCAACAGCCCAGAGTTTATTTCATTGCAAGTTTTATAATCGCCACCTCTACTTAATAAGCTACTTAATGATAAATTTGAATCTGTAGACCAACAAGATTGTTTAGTAGTAACCATTGGCAGTTACTAGTATAAAACGCTTTTCCCATATGAAAGTTTTCCTTTATTTTTTTTTAAGCTTTCACAGAATTCACCTTCAGCCAGGAAAGCAGACACATTGAATGAGGTGTCTCTACTGTTAGACAATTTCCCACCTCACTGCTAAGTTGAACTTTTTGAAACTTTTATGGTAGGCACTCAATTCAGCAGTTACTGACCACAGCCACGAGTCTGGTTTAACTCTGCAATTAGAGTTAGGTTTATTAATGGCTAAACCAAATGTGCACTAAACCACCATTGTCTTAACTTCAAGAGGAGGAACAGCCTTTTCTAAACTGAACCAGAAAATGAGGCCCTGGGCAAGCACATACCAGACAGTACCTAAGATTTACAAGGAGCAGTTCCGGGTCTTTGGAGATCTCAGCACATCCGGATATGTCCTATGGGGAAGTATCAGGCTATTTAAAATGATCCACAGGTGGCCAGATCTCACCAGCTGATCTGCTGCTTTTCTGAACTGTGGATGTGCCTTTGTCCTCCCTCTCTCCACCTTAAGCTCCCAGAGAAGCACGGGTCTACAGCTAAACTGCATGGTCTTACTTAATGCTCTAGAGCTACCGTTCTTTTTCCCAATAAAATTCAGAGGAAGGAGGACTTGGATGTTTGTGATGATTTGGGCCCATCTTGTTAAGAAAGCAGGCTCACCCATCTATTTGATACAGCAACAGACGTCAAATATGGGTTTGACTCTTTTTAGTCTCTCCCTCCCTGGACACAGAAGGAAATTGAACAAAGCTCAATGGGGTTAAAGAATGGCAAAATATATGCAAAGTAATCTGTCATTTACGTTGCTGCAGCAGTTGTGCTAAACTCATAGTACCATCATTATTCTCTTATAGATTAGCTTTGGATTTTTGCTGGATTTTTTTTTCTGCAACAGTCCCTGAAACATTTTCTTGAACTCTCATACAATTGAGAAAAAAACAAAAAACCATTCTTTTACTGGAAGGCAGGATTTGAAGAGATATGCAAGTAAAAGGTCAGAAAAACACTCCCATTTCAGCTAATACAATTTCTGATATAAATTGTCAGGACGGGGGGAGATTTTTTTGTTTCATTTCAGCACATCTCACTGCAATGCCTACTGTGCTAACCATTAGGGCTGCTGTTATTCTGATTTGTGTCCACTAGTCAGCGTGGAAAGAACAAAAGAGGAAATTCAAGCAGCAGTTAAAGTGTCTGTACAGTTAAGCCAAAGAACAAGTGTGCAGCACAGTAGAGAGAAGAGGTCCAACAAGTACTTGGTTTCTTTCTGATCTGGACCAATGCTCCTGCTGCCCAAAGAAATTTACAAGAAGCCAACAAATAAGTTCTTAACTTAGAAGACAGTTTTTGTTAGCAATTGGTAAAGCACTTACAAGACAATATTGAAAAGAGAGAATTCTTAAAAGCATCATGAGTTTTCTGAGTATTTGTTGCACTCTCAGCATCCAAACCAACTCCCCCTCCATTTCCCTCCTAAGAAATGACCTTCCAGTTTCCCCTCATGGATAAAAGACTCTACAGATGCTGGCAATGCTTCAGCAGGGTTTGTGTCTGATTTGCAACCCATCTCACCACTATCACTTACCAATAGAGCAGGAGCAGGAAGACTGCCAGCAAAGCCAGGGTGACTGTGGTACTCTTCATTTCTAGGGAGGCAAGTGCCAGAAGATCTACAGGCTCCATTTTCCTCCACTATAGCTCCAGCCTTGAGTGCTGTGTGCAGGGGAAAGCCTCCGCAAGGGCTGATAAAGCCTTCCACAGCTACATGAATGACATCTGCAACAAAACAGGAACCGAGAGAGCAAAAACATGTCAAGCACAAACTGAAAACCTTTCCTTTTCTCACCGACTGCACTCTCTGAGACAGAACTCGAAGGTTCCCCGAGTGGTAGAATGTAGCAATTTCCCCCCTCCCACTGTTGTTGACTGTCATGCCAGTAAATATTTACATACTCACCTCTTGAGACATCAGTGTTGCTGAATAGGCTTTTAGAATTCAAGTATGGGAAGCTGGGGAATGTGTGGGGAAAAGAAATGGGGAAGACAGCCTGACCTTGTTACAGATGATGGAAGAAAAATATAAAGGCACTTCAGGGGTGCTCTGACATACAAACAGTGGCATTCTCTAAAGTACTAGAATAAAGCAGTTTTGCAATATAAAACTTTATTAGTACTTAATCTCCAAGATGGTTATACCTTGTAAGAATGGAACAAAGTAAACATTAAAATACCATGACTAAAAAGGAGGAATTAGAGGAAAACTGGTCTATGTGACTCCAAGAATGCATACAAAGGAAGAACTAATGAGCAGAAAACCCCAATTTTTTGAGTAGTACCAGATCCATAAATCAGCATCTGCCACACTGGTGAGTCCACACAGACAGCACTCTTTGGGTGTATCATCTCAAGTTCATGACGGCTACAGCAAATTTCCTGGCACAGGTCACTGTCCCCGTTGGAGGCATCACTAACCAGTCAGTCCAGAGATACTTCGGCTATGCCTACATTGTATTTCTAGTATCAGATTTAACACCAATATGGTCAAACCTACTATCCCTGCATTGTGGCACAGTCAGGCTGCCACAGCCCCTTGAACAATCTGCACACAACAATCAAGTTTTGACTGCAGGAAATGGTTTGTTCACTGTATATGAATTTTTCAGCTTTCTTCCATATTTTCCTGCCTGCAAACCTCAAGCCTGTTTTAAGCATCTGATCCAGTCCAATTAGAAAGGTAAACCAAAGAACACATCTTGAAGCACTTGTACAAAAGAAGTCCACCAACCTGCTATACATCAAAGTAGTCAAATTCCATAATCACAAAAATCTTCAGGACAGCAACATCAGAAGCAGTAGCCTGCAAGTAAACACCTCTGCCCATGACAAAATTACCTGAACTGACCAGTATTGTTTGTTACTTATGAAACTATAAATTCTCATATATGTGCTTCAGAGTTCCCACCCATCCTAAACAACCTATTTGAAAGATAAGAAAACCAATGCTATGCAAAAACTTGGTTTGTGAATTATATAGTAACCTTGAGAACCAGAAATTCTGTAAAATCTGATTCTCATAACATGCCTGATGAAGAGTGGTTTCTTCTCTTGCTGCCCCAAGACAATAGCTTCAATTTAACGTGCAAGGCTTCTCCAATATCATTGTATTATATTTCCTGCTTTTATCAGAGAAGTTAATAATATAGGTATCAAAAAAGCAAAGTCTCTAACACAATGGAGTTTAATTTTAAGAAGATTTGGCTCTACTCTAACTGAATCACTGCTATTTTGGTTCTCTGTGCTTCACAACTGCATTAATTCCCTTCCAGCCTTAGATCCTTACAGAATAAGTAAAAGGTGTTAACCAGTTCATCAGCTCCACAGAATAGCGACGTAGCTCACAGAAAACCTTGCTTCAGGTATTAACAACTCCACTGCTATTCTAGGTCAATAACAGCTCTGCTGGTTTGCTGCTGCTGGAAAGTTCTCCAAGAACAACTGCAACAAGATTCAAGACACAAGGAATTAATCAGTGGGCGCAAGCTAATCGCAACTAGCAACAAATCCTGCGGGACTTTCAGAAAAAGAAAAAAAATCAAACATTGATATGCATCAAAGTATTTTCTAAAAACCAAACCAACCACCATAAGGGTAGAAGACAAGAAATAATATTCCAATTTCACTTTGATTTATTTGGCTTTTTAATAAAAGATATTTTTCTGCACATAGAGGTAGTTGTTCTCCTATTAAAATCAACTGTGTGACTCCTGTCAGCACACATAGGTCAAGTACAGACCTCACTTGTTTTTTAAGAAGCACTGGAGTCCTTTCCCAGTCACACTGAGAGACAGGAGGTATGAATAGTTCTTAAACACATGCTTAAGAAAGAAAATAGGGTCTCACATCAGAATCCAGTTTGGAAGACAACACTTAATCAAGCTTTTTTTTCCTTTTCTTTTCATCATTTTCTGCTGTCAATCATGGGGTTTGTTTTGTTTTACTTTTTAAGCCTCATCACCTGTTTCTTGCTGAAGGATGCTAACTTGGCACCTCCGACCATTAAGAAGGGTGGCAAGCATTGACTCCAAAACCTGCCTGGAGCACTTTTCATTACAGATAGAGGCACTTACAGTTATCATCTTGGAGTTAGGGACCTCAGCTCTGTGAAGAGTCACATAAAACCACATGATATTTGTGGGGGGGAAAGGAGTCAGGGATGCAGAGAACAATGAAAACAAGCTATTTATCAATCCTGAGAAATCTCTTTACAATTTTTTTACGTGAGAAATATTATCCTAATTAACACTTAATAGCACAGATATTTTTCACCAACCTCCGGGTTCCTTTTGTGGAGTCACGCTGGGCAGTATGGTAACAGTATCAAAGAGCTATGGAGACAGCTAGAAAGTCCTCCCTAACCGCAGGCTGGAGGAAGCCAGAGACAAGCAGAAGAGAGCCTTTTCCTGTCAGACTGCTGTGAGTCAGCAGCAGTGCCTGCCTTTGCGTCCACAAGGCTTCCCTCAAGATTGCATCTACCAAGGTTTGCAGCTCCTTGACACGGTGCCATCCACACTCTTCTCTTCCATAGCAATTAAAATCCACAGATCACCACCTTGTTCATCACAGATGTTGATTAAAACCTACACTGAAGAGACTCACCTCACCCTTCATTCCCCACCACTGCCTGGGAGCTCCCCAGCAAATGTGACAGAGGGAGTTCAGTGCTGAGCAGCCAGAGCTGCAGCCTGCACACACGCTCGCAGCAGAAGCTATTAAACAGGGAAGTACACAATAGCATTCAAAGTCTGAGAGGCTGAATTGTTCCTCAACTGAAAAAGAACAAAAACCTGGCACCCAGACAATCCAGGTTTTACAGGAAGCCTTTGTGCCTTACAGCCGTGAGTCCAGTCATATTTTCTGTAAATGCTCTTCCAAAACAATGCATTTCAACTTGCAAAGGAATATAGCTGTGGCTGTGAGCCTCAGCAAAGCTTGACATACACAAGTATTGTTCCAACATGAAATACAGAGTTTATTAAAAAGCAGGATTATAGGCCTTCCCAGTAAACCTAAATCACGTTAAGGATTTTGACCTGTCTTCAAAGAATATCAAATGGAAAGTGTACTCTCCTATTTAGGAGCTACTGACTATACCAGCTAGACTAACCACACACTCCTGCTAATGACCAAATTCGATTCCTCTTGTGCTATTCAACTTCATATATCTTAGGTCTATAACAATCTAATTAAGGCTGAGCCACACCAACTTTATGATAGATGAAGAAAGTCCAGGAAGACGCTACATTTTAATTTTACAGCAGTTTGTGTCTATAGAAATTTATAGCACAGTCTTCAGATCAACAAAATTCTACTACAGACAGTTTAGCCACAAAATACTGCAGACAAAATACCACAGAACAGGTTAAAAAAGAGATTAATCAGGGACTAGTTTATGTATAAGCTTTAAAAAAACTCATGTAACAAAATGTATAAGTATAGATGATGATAATTTATCTTAAAGCAAAAACATTTCCAGAGCCAAAATGAATTCTCAACGTCTTGAAGATAGAACAATCAAATAAAAAAAAATTCCAGAGGCACATTTCACAGAGGTTTTCTTTTTTCCTTTTTTTTTTTTTTTAATTTAAAACAACCTTAATATCCAAAGTACTGGGAATAATAATGTATTGGAATAGAGGGATTTACAATGGCCATCTGTGATTTAATTATTGCTATCCCTGTTCAAGGATTGATTAAGTAGTTTAATCAGACGATTCTGTACTCCTGCATGATAAACTATGACAAACTACCCAACAGACAGACCACCAAGGCATCAGAGCCTACTAATAAAGATCCTACTCTGCATTCAAAACAGACAAGAGCACAAAAAGGACACCATGAGCTCATGGGAGATTCTTGAGTCACCTTGAATAAAGTCACTCCAATAAAGTGGATCTCAAAAGGCAAACACAGTAACTGTAAAACTACACTGAGGAGGCCACTTTCATGACACTTCCGACCGAGAAGCAGAAAGACACGCTTTTACACTTAAATTATTTTGCCAAGTCAGAACCTGGCTATATTAACCTAAATGCTTCTCAGAAAACAGGCATGCAGTTTAAAATTCTAGGAAAGCTAAAATATTGTGCAAACTTGTACTTCACAAACAAATTTAACCTTAGCTACCTAAAAGTTATGGTACTTCAAACACAGTCAGTATCTTAAAGGCTAAAAAACTCATTATGCTAACTAAATGTAGTGCCACTGTACTAAGTCCCCTTTAAAGCAACAAGCTGTGAGATATCCTAGTTATTTCAAAGAACTCCTCTTAGAAATAGCACAGATTTTGTGGTCAAAAGGAATGAAAGTTTCTTCCTCTTGCTGTGAGAGTTCAGAATGAGTTTCTAAAATAAAGTTACCTTTGCTAATAGTGACATTAAGATCTTGTAGCCCCTGTGAAATTCCATAGAAAGCAGAAATTAGTATAACACCACCAGTCATTTCTAAGCAAATTGACTTTATTAAATAATTGGTAACTTGTTTATATTTCTATAGCTTGCTTTAGAAACATTGATTGATTTAAGCCATCCTATAATTTCATTGCCCTATAAACTTGACTGGAGATAAATAAGGATTTATGTTCACAGATCAATAGCTCTACATACACAGGAAAAGCCCAAAAACCGTGCCTAGGCTAGTCTTGTAGTTGCAGGGAGACATATAAATGTTTGCAAAACTATTATGGTATGAGCTGTTAGGTTATAATTTTTTTCTGAAGCTCAGTTTTTAAACACCATAAAAAATACCTAACCTTCTTTGTCTGATTGATATGCTACTCTAGGTAACAAATTCCAGGCTTGAAATCTCCAAACTATGTTTTGGTACTGGATCACACGTCAAAAGAACTCTGAAAAATTTGACAGAAGTACCTTGTTCAATAACTTAATTAAGCAAACTTATAGAGTAATACAATGCATTTATCTGTACCCTGTCAAAATTCAAAATGACAAATAGGAAATGCACCAAAAGTCTCAAAAACCTTGAACTTCAGACAAGGTAAAGAACTATTCTTCATCTGAGGTCACTGCTTTTGGGTTTTTTTCAAGTATCTTATGCTCCCAGAAGAAACTCCACAGATGTGATTGGAGAATGTGCCCACGGATTATGGCCTTCAGCCTAACAAAAAAGGTAGAATTCTTCCCATCTGGGAACGGTGGGCAGTATCAGCTGTCCCTTTATGCCTTATCTCTAACTGTCTAAAACCAGAGGGTTTGTATGCAAAACCTCCGAGATAAGTAAGACAACGAAAAAAGAGAGCAAATGAATGTGCAATGCATTAGATGATACAAACATGCCAAAACCAGAACCCATATTGCATCTTACTACTGCCACTAGTCTCTGCACAGAAGAGGCAGTAAGCAGGCAAAAAGGAAAAAGAAAGGTGGCAATGAAGCAAGTCAGACTAATACTATTGCAACAGCAATGGTTCTCATACCTCAAAAAGCCCAGAAGCCCTTAGTTTACATCCACATGTTGAAATGCAACCCGACTGCAAAGAAACTCAAACTGGCAGTAGGAGGAATCACTGAGGACCAGTGCTTCAGCAATTCTTTAGTGGCATCTACAGAAACACTTCTTAAGATGCAGAAACATCCATTCACAGGACACTGTCCTGGAGATCACCAGGTGCAGGGTTTGGTAATGCTACTCTGACTCCTGCAGATGTGGCAGGGGATGTTGTTGCCTGTCTTGCCTTTGAAAATGCTCCCCATGACAAGCATTCAAAATCACCATAACTGCCCTGTGAACAACCACGATGAATATTCTCAGCTGGCAGTAAGAACACAAAGTGTATGGGGCACTGGAACACACAAAGCTGGGACAGGAAGACACATAGAACTTTCACACTATAGGACAAATGCAGGGACAATATACGGTACCTTGAAATGCCATATTTTCACTCCTGCCCCTATACAGGGTGCATTTGCTGCCTACACGTATGCATCACATGATGAATAGTTCTTGGTAGACCGTGCCAAATGCTCCCAAAGGCCTTCTTACCCATATGAAAGGGAGCACAGATAACTAACATGCAAATGACAGCCCCCTTATATGTGGCAGAGAAGTGCATGCAATATACGGGCGGCTTTACTCTGGTTCAGCCTTTTGTGCTTTCCCATTCATTGGGCTTTTTTGCTGCAGACCTTTCTGCTGACCACTTGTACACTAATTCACCAAATCAGAAATCCCTTCAACTATCTCATTGTCAGCAGATATGTTATAACACAGACATGCATAACCAGTGAGGGGAGAGGGAAAAAAAAAAAGGAAAAAAAAAAAAAAAAAAAAAAATCAGCACTTCCGAATCTCAAGCTTTTTCTGAACTCTTGGTTTAGTTGAGTTTTTTGCTCCAACGCTGGTTGTTCATTTGTGAAATTGGGATAAATACAGATTTTACTGGGGTAGGGACTGTCCAGCTCAAAGCAAGGGGAAAATAACTTCTCAGAAGCTGTGAAATTTAAAGGATCAGGTCTAAAATAATAATTAAATTATTTTAATTGCTCAACTAAAAAATGCATGTTTTTCCTGCAGTCTCATAGATCTGAGAGTAAATCTGTGATTTCTGAATGCTTGAGGTTAGCAACACTTGCAAAAGGGCATGAACCCAATAAGCTGACCTATTAGTCAAAGGAAGAGGTTAAGTGGAAGACTAAATAACCTGACGTTATGAGTTGAAACAGCAAGAAAAATTTAGTCTCGACAAGATTTCAACCCTGCTGACATTCCTCTTAACTTCATCTCACAAAGTGTACTGTAGTTGGAATTTGTGCCTAAAGTTTACAATGTTCAGCCTCCTTCCTACCTTCTGATGCCTTCCACCAAGTGGCAGATAAGCCCAGCCTTACATTGTAGCTGGGCTAGTACAAAAAGGAAATATATATCCTTCTCAGGGTATGGGAAGCTTCATCCTCAAGAGCCCCAGCTCTCTGTGGCAGCTCAGGCTAACTAGAAATTCCCAGGAACAACGGGAGGTTATGATGAGCTGCAATTCAGAGGGGTTCCCGCAGATGCATATGAGTATTTTAAGGGTGTAGCAAAGAATTTTTGGAAGTCTGGTGCAGGTAGGTGCTCTCCGTCCTCGTGTGATGCATTCAGCTCTGTGTATGTAGAGCACCAACTCCAAACATAAAATATTGTTTTTCTCTCAGTATATGTAACTCCAATGAACCTTATTGGAGCACTGAGGGTACACTGAGAAGATTACACTCTGTAATGTGCAGTTACAGCTGTACTGTAAATGCAACATTACACGCTTTCTATTATGGTTCAAGACCACTCTACTCTTCAAGACTGTTATAAACCTCAGAAAACAGGGGTTCATAATGGAAACGCTGAAACACACAACTCTAAAAACCCCAGCAGAGAGGAAATATAGCTATAAATCCAGCTTTTCTTTTCCAGCATACACACTGGCAAGTTATGAATAATACGTATTTCTACACTTACAACATACAGACGCACACACTGCTCAGGGTAACCTTTGCTGTAAAGGTGGAGGATGGAAAGAGCTCAGAGTGGAAAGAGCAACCTTTCATCTTGTGTTTTACAGAGTTACTGCAACTGTAATGATGACATAAACCCAGCAATTGAAATTTAGTAGCTGTGCACCAGGGCTGAATTTTGAATGCGCTTTTTTTAGAAAGGGTGGGCTATGTTTCGTAGACATCAAGAAAAAGACATGAGCCCACTCAAATC